GCATTTTGTTCTTTTAAAATAAGGAACGTTCCAGAAAACTTTAGTGAGGCTAAACGAATAGCATTTTCGATGTACATATTTTCGTTTTCAGTTTTAGCTTATTACCCCATAGAGTTCTCACTGAGTGGATGGTATGTGACTGTTGTAGACTGTGTTACGACATTGTTGAGTGCTTATGGCTTTATTTGTTGTATACTAATACCAAAGATGTATATCATTTGGTTTAGGCCGGAACTGAACAATTTACATCAAATCCGTAATGAAGTAACTGAATTCTCGTTTAGAACCAATTCCGCTTTGCGCATTAACCCTGTATCTGGCTCCTAAGTAATGTATCAAACAGGTAAGACCGTGTTTGACCACATTTCCAAACACCGAGAAGAGACTTGAAAACGCGACGCACAGCGGAGTATTTTTGACGAACTTCGAGGTGTTTAGAAATGTGGTCAAACACTGTCTTGACTTCCTTTGTCTAAACTTGATGCATTATAATGAGTTTGAGAATGTTGAATCCACCATGCATGTCCACAGTTAAGCAAAGTTAATCTCCAACTAATTTCTTTGGTCTTTTTATAGTTACAATTTTGTCCTGTCTATAATTAAAATTGACAATGAAATATTTAACCATATTTACCCGTTCGACTTGAGTTGGTTTATTTATTTTTCTTTCTCATTGGTTTTTGCGCCGGATTCGGGATCCAGCGCTCCGGCATCGAGCTCTGGATGAGTTAATTGCGTTGCGTTTTTTTGGACAGTCACCTGGTTCCCGTCTTCTACAACCAGGTGCAGAAGTACCTGGGAATTTAATGGGTTGGAATAGTTTCCAGTTCATACTAAAGATACTGGCGAAAAGTGTCGACTTGATGAGCAACTAGGCTGGAATAGAGGCCTAAATTAAATATATATATCGTAGTTTACTATTTGCGACGAAGTTAGATGGGAATTTAGTACCTATGCATGGCCCGCTGGAGAAATAGCTTTGATAAAAGATGTTTTTCGACTACCAGCTGCATCCTTTTTTTGTTTCTGTTTTGTTTGTATGTTTTTTGTCCGCTATGGATGAGGATAACGTTCGCGTTTTATTTTTTCTAAATGTTGTCATTAATCTGGGATGGAATGGTACTGTGTTAACCTGATGGAAAATGTGAACTTTACCTCAAGTCCTGGCCAAACAGACTCGTAAGTAGTCGTAAGTACTCCCACAAGTTGAACTTGCGTAGAGACTTGCGTTTGGTGGCCAATTGGACTCGTAAGTTTCCTCGCAAGTATACGTAAGGCGCCAAAAACGTCATTTCATGGCTACGTGCTCACTCCCACGCGGCCAATATCCTGTGTTTTATTTTCTAATAGGTTGCTGTAACAACGAATGGAGTCACTCAACTTGCGTTGACTTGGGTCGGGTGTTCAAACGGTGAAAAACTTGCGTCGACTTGCATGCAAATTTGGTCTTGACCAAAGCAAAGGCAAGTCATTGCAAATCATCGCAAGAGCACGCAAGGCCTGGCCAAACGGAGTCGCAAGTACACCAAAGTTTGCAACTTGCGTCTACTTGCGAGTCCATTTGGCCAGGGATTTAAATGCTGTTTGGCATTGCTTTTGGATAGATTTTTACTATAGGGAAAACAATTAAGGCTCACACTTTAAATGTAAATAATCAATTGTACTTTCACCTGCTTTAAAAATCCATTTTCGGTCTTGGACTGTGCATGTCCAATATCTTCAGTTTTTGGCTTATCATTGTACGCGAAAAAATATTCTGTCAGGAAAGCACAATAAGTTAACAAAAGAAATGGCTGTCGATCCTAGATCGTCGATGATCATATATGTATGTGGAAACCACTCCCCTAAGTAACCCAAGAGTCTTTCGCAGCACTTTAACTTGAATGATCACCAACGTAATAAAATGGACGAGTTGCCCGAAGATAATTATTGTTAAAATGGGAACAGCTAATTGCGGGGAGAATCAGGTAACCTAACTACTATGAGTAGCTAACTCTCCGGAAGTCTGATTTAAATGTGAAAAGAAACGAGGAACCCTTGTTTTTACAGGAAAAAACCCCTGGTAGAGTGAAATAAAAATAGTTTGATGGAGTTTGCTGTAAACAATGTCAACGAATTATAATTAAACAGAAAATGCTCTCTCCAACAAAATTAACATCAGTATTAGAATTAATGAATGCGTCAATATCTTTTACCGGCCCTCAAAGGCTGTTTCTGTTCGGTGTAATAATTTCCGAAGGCGTCATTTCTCAGAAACCAAACCTCGAAAACGTTTTTGCCGAAAATGCTCTCGTGAGCATTCAAAATAAGTTGCATGTTCGACATTTTGCTATTGTTGATTTTCGTAAATAGTATCACCTGCTTTTCTAATTGACCGGTGTTAAATGTCAACGATCAATACAACTTCAGAAAATGCTTTCATTCTGAGATACCTCGCTGTTTTCCACCTTTCCATCCGCGCCGTTGTTCGAGGGCCGCATACAGCGAGAGTTCATTTTGGGTGGACAAATTAGCGTTCATTTGAGAGGACTTCATAGATTCAGAACAAGTGCGGTGAGCTCGATGTCAGTGGCTTGTATCACGCGCCGGCCATGATTTTTGCAATTAAAGAGATAAGTAAAGATTCAAATCTACCTCCAAAATAACTTTCGTGAAAGATTTACGAAATTATTGCCCCAGGCTAAGAATCTTCGAGAATCTTCGTGAGAATCACTTTCTTTGTTACTGGCAGTGATCGTAGAGTATCTTCCTTGAAGACTTTCGCCTTAAAGACCCTAAAAGAAATGGCGTTACTGGATACCAGCGTTTGTAAAGGTCAAGTGAAACGAAGCAACGTTTGTAACAACAACTTTTGTTAGAACAATTTCCCAACAAATGGCGCTGCTTAGCAACAGCTCATTGCGTCTGCGTACTTAGCTTATTCCTAGTGCAACCTATTCTTCAAATCAGAAATAGACATTTTGAACAATTTTATATCTTGGCCATTTTTCAAGAATTGAGGAATTATTCAAAATAAATTGTATGTGCAGCATGTCAATGTTGCTGAGATAGATAAGCGACAATACTGCCACCTGGCTTGGGAATTCTGCATTGTTGCTAGGAGTGGGCCGTCAATACTTACAACTAAATACACAAAGCATTTCATTTCCTACATTTTAAAGATGAATAATTTCAAGCCTCCATCATACAGCTACTTCGTCGTGTTCTACCTTACCATCTTGTATGGTGTTGTTCAAGGACCTTACAAAGATGGAGATGTCATTTTGGGTGGACTTTTAAGGGTTCATTTGAGAGGAGATGCTGAAAACCAATGCGGTGAGCTTGATGTTGGGGGCTTAAATCGCGTGTTCGCCATGATATTTGCCATTGGAAAGATAAACAGCGATTCAAAATTACTTCCAAACATATCTATTGGCTACGATATACGAGATTATTGCGAGGTTTCCCTAAAGGCTACACGAATTTCTTACGATCTTATTAAAGACAAGCTCCTCACGAACATGACGCAAGGTAAACTCGGAAGCAAATCGATCACGGCTCTAATCGGTCCAGACGACTCTAGCACCGCTGTTGTTATCGCTGGACTTCTTCAAGCCTTAAATATTTCAGCTATCAGTCCGACTGCGACCAGTCCTGAACTAAGTGCTCAAACTTATAAGTATTTGTATCGAACGGCGCCCTCGGATGCCTTTAAAGGAAAAGCCATGGCTGACCTCATAGAGTACTTCAAATGGAGTTATGTCGCCGCTGTCGGACAAGATGACACATATGGACGAAATGGACTTTGGTCGGTAGTAAGAGAAGCTGACGCTAGAAACAATTCATTCTGCCTTGCTATGACGACGTTTATTCCGCAAGAAAGTCGCATTTTGAGCATTAAAAACATTGTTACAACCCTTAGTCGGCGAGAAAATATCAGAGTTGTGATTTTGTGGTTATACGGTAGCTATGCAAAGCACTTTTTCGATGAGGTCTACAGACAAAACCTGACTGGGCGAGTCTGGATCCTGAGCGACGTCCTCATTTCTGATTCCATTCCAGGTTTTTCTTCCATCCTTGATGGATCCATAGTCGTCAAGCCTCATACTTCTTCGGCCGACACCAAATTTGAAGAACATAAAAATGATTTATCTATTGCAACAATTAATGAAACCTTTCCGGAATGGTGGAGCGAGATAAAGACGCTTATAACAGATTGCTCGGCAGGTGATGAGAACGCGAATTCAACGGAGCAATGTTTCCATGATTTTGTTCAGCGCATGCAAGGTTCTTATACTCCGTACGTCATTGACGCTGTTTATTCAATGGCACATGCTTTGAACATCTTAGTCGAAAGCACCACAGTGAAGGATATAGATTACAAGCTAAAATCTACCATGGATATTGATGTGATGAAAAGTCGCCTTTCTAGAGTTAGTTTTGCTGGACTAACGGGAAATGTAAGTTTTGATAAAGATGGTGACACTGTTGTGAAAAAGATGGCTTATGACATTGTCAATTTTCAGCAAGTGGTAGAAGGTCACACTAAACGAACGAGACAGGTTCTTGTCGGACAATGGATAGAAAATGAGCCCCACGCCAAACGGCTACATTTTTCCCATAACATTCACTGGAACACTCCAGCTAACCGACCTCCAAAGTCTGAATGCTTGGAGCAATGCCCTGCTGGAACTAGAAAATCCACCACTTCACCATGTTGTTGGAACTGTGTCGCATGTCCTCGTGGCACAGTCAATCCAATTCCTGGCTTGGAGACCTGCATTGAATGTCCCAGAGGAAAAAAATCCAATGAGGCCAAGACGCATTGCGTGGATCTACCAGTGGCCAATCTCAAGTATTCCAGCACAGGAGGAATAGTTATTCTTGTATTTACTGTTGCTGGTATGGTAGCAACCCTCTTTTCGTTTGCTGTCACCTGTAGATTTTGGAATACTCCAATTGTCAAGGCATCCAACAGAAGATTTAGTATCGTCCTTCAGATAAGCATTCTGTTGCTCTTAACTCTAGTGGTTATCAATCTTTTCGAACCCTCAGATACAACTTGCAAGATCATTTATCCATGGCGTTACTTAACCTACAACCTGTGTTTATCATTTCTGCTAGTCAAAATTTTACGTATTTCCAGTGCTTTCCAAATTCCGATAGTGCGTTCTTTTGAGATAACCCATCTTACCAACAGAATGCAAGTAGTGATCATAATAACCATGCATATTGTGTTGTTACTTGTGTTACTACCCTGGCAGCTTCTGGATCCACCCATCAAAAAGGAACACATTCTGACGGAACAGTACATTTTTATCGAGTGTAAGGCGTACAGCTTGATAGTCGGCCAAGGCTTTTTCCTGGCAGCGTGCTCTTATATTCTTATTCAAATACTTTTCTCGGCATTTTGTTCTTTTAAAATAAGGAACGTTCCAGAAAACTTTAGTGAGGCTAAACGAATGGCATTTTCGATGTACATATTTTCGTTTTCAGTTTTGGTCTATTACCCGGTAGAGTTCTCAATGAATGTATGGTATGTGACTGTTGTAGACTGTGTTACAACACTGTTGACTGCTTATGGCCTTATTTGTTTTAAATTGCTACCAAAGATTTATATCATTTGGTTTAGGCCAGAGCTGAACAATTCAAGCCAAATTCGTAATGAAGTAACTCAATTCTCGTTTGAACTTAGCTCTGCTTTGCGTATTTACCCTGCATCGGGTCCTAATACCACGGATGGCGAAACCGGCTAAAAAAAGCTAGGTAAACTCCTGTTAACGATAATTATTTCCAAATAGTTTTCTTGGTCTTTTGATGGTTGCAATTTTGCCCTGTCTGTAATTAAAATTTACAACAAATTATTGAACATTATTTACTCGTTTGGCTTCGGTTGGTTTATTTATTGCATTTACTTTCTTGTTGTAGTTTAATGGATTGGTAGATCTGAAGCACCATAATGAGAACTACTGATTTTTCTAGTAATTGCGTAATTCATTAAAGTCATTATTATTACTATTGTTATTTCTCATTGGTTAGTGTACTGGACTGGGGATCGAGATGGGTCTGGCTATAGCCCCGTCCGTGTTCATTGCGTTGTGTGTTTGGGCGCAAGTCGCTGGACTTTCGCAGTGCCTTTCTCTACTCAGGTGTACAAATGGTTACCGAGGATTTAAAGCTAAGGATAACACTGGGATAGAATAATATATCCTGTTCACTGTATAAAACCTGGAACATTGTATACAACACTTAAAGTCGTTTTATTGGTTCGTTGCGGTTTATTATATTATAATCATTGACGGCGCTATATGTCAGAAACCGGACATCGATGGGAAAAGTTCATTTTTTCAGAGAATGCCTTCTTAAACGGCTTTTCCGTTTTGACAGAGCATTCAAAATAGGTTACATTTACAACGTTATGATATTGTGGAGATAAGTTAATACTGCCACCTGCTCATAAAAGTCCCCGCCTCATAGCTCACAGGGCTCTAAGCCGGCACATAAGTTAACACACCAAGGCAAGGTATGGGCACCACCGTGGTAGGGAGTGAAAAACAAGGCTTCTTCAAAGGAAAATTTATAAGACTTTTCAGACCAAACTCTTTAAAAAGATATTTATTTTTAGAGAAAAGTCAAAGCTTCAAACCACGCTTGCGTGGTAGAGGCTATCCAGATAATTTTACTCCAAGGACCCAAGTACAGTTTGAAAACAGGCCACAGGAAAACTCCCCTTTTAAAAAGGGGGTTGGAGAAGGCATAATATTAATGCCTGTCTCCTTCACAATAAGCCATCAGTGCATGCCTCATGTATAACAACTCCTCGAAAAAACTGGCATTATAAGAAATCTAGAAAGACCCGCCCGGCCACTCATATCTTACGAAAAGCCAAAATATGAAAAGGCTAATACACGTGATAGAGAGCCTTCATATTTATCGACTATTTTAACGGCTTTTGCACGACTAAGATGCCTCAGCGAATCAATATCGAGACCGTAACGCTATCTCAAAACGTTCAGGGGGCTTTTGAATTGTCCTACACTTAAATTTCATCGATCAGTTCATTGTTATGCATCAACAATCACGTGCTAAAATGTTTGCCGGTGCATATCCCCGTTCAGTTCCTTTCCAAAGATTTCCTTTTGGTCTTTCGCAGAGTTGGGATCTCTGTGCGAAATAGGAAAGTGCGCCAGCGTTTATCACTGTGGTTGCATGCTTTCCCTACGCATCTTAAGAACCGCATATGTAATAAACGGCGCGCAATGCATGCAGAAGCGATGACGTTTGAAAATTGTTCCCAGAAGATTGGAACATGAGCAGACAAACTGATTCTTAAACTTTTGGGTTAGAAATTTTAGGGGTTTACATTTAGGGTAGTGCATTGGTAGTTCATTCAAGTAGTTCATGAACCAGGTCCATCTTGTTAGTCCATGTGCTAGGGGTCAGCGAAAGGTACCAACCCAAATAAAAAGCACTCCGCTGAAAAGTTCCTCTCTCTGAAATCAACACCTTATTATTTTTAAAGATATTGGCAAAGCTAATGACCTCACCGGAAATTAATTTGTTGTTTTAACCATATACTTGTCCAAGAGAAAATCATTTTCTCTTGACTTGTCATATCGCGTGTGCGACCCGCTTGCCTATCTAAAATTGTATGTATCGAAGATATGTTATTATGAGTTTGCCCGTGAGCGCAAATTTATCCGACACTGTATAAACCAAAATCAACCCCCAAATCT